CAATAAAGAATTGTGTATTGTATTGTAAAAACATAATTAAAAAGCGATAAAGCTTTTTTGGTACTAATGCATCAATATTATTTATTGTACAGTTAATCTGGAGGAGCTCGATGGCGCAGGTGGCTAGCGCGTTTGGCTGCGATCGTTGAAGTTAAGCAACTTTCGCAGTGGTCGGTCAATGGATGGGTGACCAAAAATTTACTATCTCGAGCTCCTCCGTGCTTCGGAAGGCACGTTAAGCCGTTGGTCCCGGCTGCATTTGCAGTCGTTAGCACCCACCAATCCGCACTGGGCCCGCGTGGTGGGTCATGGCCCAATCTCCCTATTCCATCCATAGGGAAGACCTGTGCCCCAGCAGTGGGGACATTAATAGGCTGATGATGATGATCCTCGGAACCCGGAAATACAGGTTATATATTACTACCCCCCCTCTCCCCCTTGTGATATTTCGTGTTTTTTTTATGAACCCCTCCCCCCCTTGTGATCGAATGCACACTTCTCTTTGATATCGCAATATTTTGTCAATGATTTTGTTTATTCTTTATGCTTGCTTACGAGATTGTTTTATGAAATACTAGTGGCCCGCCCTCGCTTCGCTTCGGTGTAGAGCTGTAGTGTAAACTATAGTTTTTGTTTTCAGGCTTGTGTTATAAACAATGACTTTATTTATATAATTACACGTGTTATTGTTAGTCAACCATAAAAGATAGACATAATTATGCTGTTGCGGGATATTTTTTTAGACAATTTTATGGAGAATATTTCCGTCATACATGATTTCTATGTAACTTTAAGCATTAAGGCTGCACACGCGACTGAAGCTTAAAAAATGGAGTAACTTCTCCCGTTTTCTCAACATTTCCCTTCACTACTCTGCTTCTATTGATTGTAGCGTGATGGAAAGTATACTTTAACCTGCCCAGGAGTATGAAGAATAATTGTACCAAGTTTCGTTAAAATACGTCGAGTAGTTTTTGTTTCTATAAGGAACATACACACAGACAGACAGACAGACAGACAAAAATTTTACTGATTGCATTTTTGGCATCAGTATCGATCACTAATCATCCCCTGATAGTTATTTTAAAAAATATATTTCATGTACCGAATTGACATATCTACAGATTTATTATAAGTATAGATATTAGATTTTTCCTTTTGGTTGTCAACCTTGACACCTTGTTTTTCTTTAATAATAAAAAACAACATATTATAAACCTAGATTTAGCCACGGAAACCCATCTTTCGTGCCTCACGTGATAAATGGACATCCCCTAAGTAGGTGTTCTTCTGTCTCTCGCCTTTGTAATTTGTCATGCAATAAATGATTGAAATAATCATAGACATATTTAAAAAAATAGGCTAAGTAATTATATTGAGATACACATCTATACTAATATTATAAAGCTGCAGAGTTTGTTTGTTTGTTAGAACGCGCTAATCTCTGGAACTACTGGTCCGATTTGAATGATTCTTTCAGTGTTGGGTAGTCCATTTATCGAGGAAGGCTATAGGCTAAATTTTTATTTTTCAAAATTAGGGATCCGTAATAAAAATGCTATTTTGTAACACAAGGTGTTAAATCGAAAACCTATTTTTGCGTGCGCTGCAAAAACTATTGACAATAGAACAAAATGATGTACTACGGGTTTGTAGATCCCATTAAGACCTACAAAAAAGGCGAGAACCTAAAACCTAAACGAGAACATATATCTAGCTATCATGGTTTAATCACAATAACCGATTTTGTGTTCAAAATAATTAATAAATCGTCTGAAGAAAAAAAACTACGTTAAATATGTATCGTAATATTAATCTTTATCGAAATTAAGCATTATGTTATCAAGAGTATTTATGTTGAAGTAAATTACTTTTTGTTTCATCGCAATCGGATATTTCGTTTAAAAGTTATCACGTGTGTATATTTTATCTCGGTATTTCCACGGAAACGAGAAAAACGCGGGTGAAACCGCGGGGCACGGCTAGTGTGTAATAAAAAGCTCAGACCTTTTTTGATGTGATAAGTTAGCATGCATAATTTACACAAACTGCGACTTTTATCAGTTAGAGTGTGTGAGTGTGTATGTTTGTTACTTCTTCACGTCTAAACGGCTGGAGCGATTTTAATAAAATTTGGTATGCAGTTAGCTGACACCCTGGATTAACACATAGGCTACGTTTTACTGCGGGTAAATATACCTAATAAACCGCGGGTAACATCGCGGGGCACAGGTATTCTGTAATAATACGATTAATATTCTAAATCTATATTTATAAAATACCTATTTTAATATAAATATTTTTGAGAAAAGTTGAAGAGTATGTTTAAATAAAATAGGTATTCTACGCTACGCACGTACGTACGCTTTCAACAAAAAACTTTTTTAATTAAACAATGGTGTCGATTCTGGCACCATTCTCTAAATCTCAACTTAATTTTGATAACAGTGGTGTCGATTCTGGCATGATTCTCTAAACTTAAAGCTAAATTTAACATCAGAGTCTTCTTTTCATTTTGTATAGATAATGACAAGGATACACTATTGTCAAATTTAGGTTTAGGTTTAGAGAATCATGCCAGAATCGATACCATTGTATTCTTGTCATTCTCTATACAGAATATAAGGAGAGACTGATGTTAAATTTAGTTTTAAGTTTAGAGAATCACGCCAGAATCGACACCAATAGATCATACTTTTTTATTGAAGGTATAGGTACCATAAGTACAGACTTTGTCCGTAAAATGTCAGTTGAACAAAATTAAATCCTGTTCACTTGGCTAGGTTAAAAATACGTGACAGCCCCACATGCAGTGTTGCCAGGTCTCCAGATTTTACAGGAGATTTCCTGTTTTTCTGAATTTTCTCCTGTTCTACTGTTTTTCTACATGAATCTCCTGTTTTTCTTAAAATACGATTTTCTTTTTTAAATTGCATGTTGAGTTGCATTTTCGGCCATTAATAATGTTGGTAAACTTATTAATTTTAAAATAAATGTTTTTGTCTAAGAAAAACTAGCTTTAAGGGGCGGTAGAAGCCACAGAAACGTATTCGTTACTGGTCTTTATATTGATTTGATTTACCAATTCTGGGGGGGGGGGGGTGCAAATCTATAACACCTCCCGATTTTTAAAAATCGGACCTGGCAACACTGCCCACATGTGATTGTGGAACCGAGGATGGTACAGTGGATCATCTTTTCTTTAACTGCCCCAAATTAAACATCTCTCTCTATGACATTTTACCTCCCACTATACCACGTCCTATAAGCATGAAAGTCCTACTATGTTTATGTGATTACCCAACCCTCAAGCTCTTGGCCAAATTTATTTCCCATAACAAACTAAGATTATAACAAAGCTCATCGCTTTACTTGTTTTATGTTTGTGTTGCCCTGATTGTGACGTTTTTCTTTACAGGTAAAAGTGCTTATAAAATAGGTAACCAAAATTCTGATTTTTAACTGTCACTCCCTTACGTGTAATGGCTAATCACTTGACATTGGCGGAGCTGTGCTAAGTCACAACGCAAGCCATCATAAAAGAAGAAGAAGATAAATTTGAGTCTCCTCGACTACTTATACCTAGGCAGGTATTTTTTTGAGTTTATAAACTGCTAGATTTTTTAAACTAAAGATTTTTTTTATTAAATTCTCGCGACTAGGTAATTATTTAAATGACAACTGACGCGGAAGCTTTGAAAATATCAAAACACTAAATCTGATAAAATGTGTATACACAGGTACATTTACCTAATGTCTTAAGTACTAATTATTATTAACAAATAAAAAAAGACTTCGTCAATTTTAATTAGTTCAATACTTATTACAACCAACACCTGAATATACTTCAGTACTCCCGGTGACCAAGGTCGTGTTATTCAGAATAAACAACAGCCATAATATTGAAAATCTATATACTTATAATAAATCTGTAGAGATGTCAATTCTGTACATGAAATATATTTTTAAAATAACTATCAGGGGGTGATTAGTGATCGATACTGATGCCAAAAATGCAATCAGTAAAATTTTTGTCTGTCTGTCTGTCTGTGTGTATGTTCCTTATAGAAACAAAAACTACTCAACGGATTTTAACGAAACTTGGTACAATTATTCTTCATACTCCTGGGCAGGTTATAGTATACTTTTCATCACGCTACAATCAATAGGAGCAGAGTAGTGAAGGGAAATGTTGGGAAAACGGGAGAAGTTACTCCATTTTTAAGGTTCCGTCGCGGGTGCAGCCTTAATGGTTAAAGTTGCATAGAAATCATGTATGACGGAAATATTCTACATAAAATTGTCTTAAAAATATCCCGCAACAGCATATGTCTATCTTTTATGGTTGACTCACAATAACACGTGTAATTATATAAATAAAGTCATTCTTTATAGCACAAGCCTGAGAACAAAAACTATAGTTTACACTACAGCTCTACACCGAAGCGAAGCGAGGGCGGGTCACTAGTACTTAATATAATTCAAATAACGGATGGACGGATCATATTATAAACGCGAAAGTTTGTAAGCTTCTATAGTAGTTTGTAACTAAATCACGCAAAACTTGTAAACAGACATACGATATTTTTTATCCCATAAAAGTTTCTGAGGGATGTAAAAAAAAAATATTTATAATGCGGACGAATTCGCGGGCGGTCGCTTCTAGATAGATAGATAGATAAAACTTTCGCACCAACTTGCACACATACGAAATTGTAGACCAATTTTACAATTATATAAATCCTTTAAAACATGGAACAAATTATATTTATACAACTGTACTATAATATTTTCGTATGCAGCAGCGATGCGAATGGGCGAAAACTCAGCGTAACATTTACTCAGAGAATAAATCGCTGATTTTCAGTTCTGACCCCTATAGGTCACGTCACGCAATTAAATGTCAGATTAAAATTCACAATACAATAAACGAAATTCTTCTATCTTTTATAAATCGAATAAACTCAAAAAAAAACTAAAACAAAACATAAAAAACTTACACCAACAATCCCGTGTGAAGGTGGACACCTCTTTGTCACTTCACTATAAACAGATAACTTGGCACGATCAAAAGAAACGAAACTTATTACCACAAAACGAAAATAGTTTGAACGTCACAACACGTAACTTTTGTATACACTTTTAATGGGATTTAGAACGTCCTTCCTCCGTGAAAGGCGGCCTGTTACTGTCTCGTGGAGCGAAGCATATTGCTGTCACTTTACGTTGGGTCTGCTGCGCCGGCGCAGGGGGTCAACTCTCTATACACGAAAACTTAAGTAATTTTTAAAAGATCCATTAAAACTAGCTCACATGAATAGGGGTGATGACGGGGTACAGTAAACGAAATTCTATTTAGTCCGTCAGTTAGATGATCCAAAAATAATGGACACATATTTTTTCTTTGGGCAATCAACCAAAAAATGACAAAGTTATAGCGCGTCAAAGTTTGGGAGTAGGGGCTCGTGACGTCACTTTTGAGTGAATTTTCACTTAAAAGTGTACTCAAACGTGACGTCATGCGACTTTTCAAATCAATATATCTCTGCAATGTTTATATTATGTGAAAAAATGAAAAAATACGTGTCCAATACTTTTTGATAATCTACCTGATAAACGAAGAAAAAAAAATTAGTCATCATCCCTATTGAGTTGCAAATATACACACATCAAAAGTGTCTAGGGATCAAGCATTTTTATGCGGATTTCTTGAGATTGAGATGTGGCTTTGTAATAAATTTATGATTTTATAAATTTATATGGATCCTTTTTGGTGCATTTCATAATTTGAATCAGGAACTGTGAATCAAATTCGAGTAAAAGATGAAAATCAGCTGTCAATATTTTCCCTATAAAAACATACAACGCATTGAAGACATTATTAGTGCTACTGTTTCCCTACTACTGATTAAAACCAACGTTATTATGGAGCGGCGACGTCATTTAAGCAGGGAAGAAATGCTCAGAGCCGTGGGAATGATAGAAGCTGGTTCCCGGCAACGTACTGTGGCTTTAGCTCTGAATACAAGTCAGAGTGTTATCAGTCGACTTTGGACACGATACCGAAGCACTGGTACCGTGGCTGAGCGCCATGGAGGACGGTATCGCTGCACCACACGGAGACAAGACCGATACATTCAAATCTTAACTCGAAGAGCTCCAACAATAACCGCCATGATGTTAGCCGTGAGGCTTCATCACTCTTCAGGGAACTTAATTAGCGACCAAACAGTCAGAAACCGCTTGCATGAAGTGAACCTTCATTCCCGAAGACCGCTACGGGTACCACCTATAGCAATGCACAATCGTAGGATTCGATATCAATGGGCTCTTGAACACAGAAATTGGGCAGAAGAACAATGGCGTTTCGTGTGCTTTTCTGATGAGTCTCGTTTTGGTATGAGACCGGATACAAGACGTATACGACACTGGAGAACCCCTGGACGCCAACAGCGATTAAAATCCTGCCAGGAAGTCCATCCTTATAGTGGTGGAACCATCATGGTATGGGCGGGTATTTGGATCGGCGGAAGAACTGAGTTGATTTGGATCAGAGGCAACCTCAACGCTCAAATTTATGCTGAGACGATTGTATCAGACGTCATCGTTCCTCTACAAGTGCAAATCGGTCCCTTATTTCAGTTAATGCATGATAATGCACGACCGCACACCGCAAGAGTTGTAAGACAGACTCTCGCCGCAGCTAACATCAATGTCCTGCCCTGGCCTGCTCAGTCGCCAGACTTGAACCCGATTGAGCATGCATGGGATATGCTACAGAGAAGAGCTCTGCCGAATATGGAGGGTATCCAGTCGCAAGAAGACCTTTTTTTGTTGTTGCAACGAACATGGGCGGCCATTCCACAGCGTGATTTGGATGAACTCATTTTGAGTATGCCAAACCGATGTTCTTGTGTTGTTAGTGTTCGCGGTAGAAATACGGATTATTAATTGTTTAAGTTACCCAATAAAATTTTAGAGAAAACTGTTATTTCAGTCTTTTTTTCGAACTTTTGTGTTAGTGGTTCAAATGTCAAAAATCCCTTTATTAGGAAAATGGCAAATTTCTTTATTAATGCAAAGGTGACTTGGTTTATTGTTACTGTGACAAACGAAAACACTTTATTTGATGAATCCTTAAAGAAAATTTTAATTAATATCAATCAGGAGAAAAGTTATTGCAAAAATATATGTTGATCCCTAGACACTTTTGATGTGTGTAGTTTGTTGCGTATTCATCCTATGACGTCTCATCCTACTCATTATTTTTTCCTTACTGAACCCAGAAAAATATTTCATTTTAAATTCCTTATTATTCACATAAGTATTCCTAGCTTCAACAATTGCTAAATGGTGTAATATAAGGTTTCTGATTACTGGTTGAACAAAAATTTGTTTCATAAAATCACATAAATTGAGTTGCAAATATTGGTTGTTCCGTATTCATCCTATGACGTCTCATCCCACTCATAATTTTTTCCTTACTGAACCCACAAAAATATAACATTTTAAATTCCTTATTATTCACATAAGTATTCCTAGCTTCACCAATTGCTAAATCGCATAATATAAGGTTTCTGAGTAAGGGTTGAACAAAAATTTGTTTCTAAAATTATTGTGAAGCTCAGTTAACTTTGTTTTTATATTGTTTCAAGAAATAAAACGGTTTAAGCGCAGGTACCTGTGCTTCACAACTTACATTTACCTTGACGGCTAAATATAACACCAAAGAAAGGTCTTAAGAAGATACAACTAGAAAAAAATCCACGCGGACCAGGCAGCAGACGGGACTCGAACCCGCACCCTTCGCAATCCGGGCGAATGCACTGACCAATTATGCTACCGCGGCCCTCACGGACCGCGTCGAAATTCTTCTAGCCATTCTTAAGCTGCAAGGCAGCGCCATCTCTTCGCATTATAGGTAACCCACAATGTCAAATGAATACTTTTACAAGTATTAAACATTTTGAAAGAAGAAATAGCAATTATAGTTATATTTTTTATTATTTTAAAGCATGTAACTGCTTGATGTTAAAATCTTAAGAAGATACAACTAGAAAAAATCCGGATTGCGAAGGGTGCGGGTTCGAGTCCCGTCTGCTGCCTGGTCCGCGTGGATTTTTTTTCTAGTTGTATATTCTTAAGATTTTAACACCAAGCAGTTACATGCTTTAAAATAATAAAAATTATAACCAAAGAAAGGTATTATGGTATCAACTGGATACGTTGCAGTTCTATTCTATTTTTGTAAAGGCTGGCTGTTGTCTGCCTGGACAATTCTGCCATTGTCAGGGTTGAGCACTACAGATGATCAGTTTGTTTTTGCAGTTATAAGCATCTTCCATTATTGGCCGGTTGGATGACCTAATAGCAGTGGCGGCGCTAGGCGTCGGCGACGTCGGCCACCGCCGACGGCCTCGCGCCTGAGGAGGCCTCGCAAAAAATTTTTATAAGTTACCTATTTATTTTCGTTTCTCCTGGCTTAGGTAGCCGACCCCGAACAATTCGGGGAAAAAGCTAAGCGTAGATGATAATGACTTTTATTATTTTCGCGTGATGGAAGCGAATAGTGCTTTACGGGTATTCAGAATCGTCTGTCTGGCAACACTATTTTTGTAATTAAATTTCTATTTTTTTATGTCATCATTTGATTATCAAAAATAAAACTCGTTTACTCATACGTTATTTTATAGTTTGGCTCACTTAATTTAACGGTTTTTTACTGCGAAGCAAAATAGGCCTCGCGAACTTGATGTCGCCGACGTGTGTTCGTCCATATGTGTTCTAGCGCCGCCACTGCCTAAAAGGGTTAAATAAAAAGGTTATAGATGTCACATGACAAACACAACGATTATAGATATAAGCATTAGTAAGCCTGGATGTTTAAAATTTACAGTTTATTTTTTTAGATGTGTATATAGTTGGCAAGGACTTGGATGAAGAGAGAGTCTACCATGGTTAGTAAGTGGTTTACATTCACAGGGCGGGGGATATTTTTAGGCAGAATATAATAAAGTGCTGAAAAGAGTGACTTTCTCGGCCCGGTGCATAATGAAAAATGTTTTTTTGTAATGCTGTGCCACGTTTTAAAATGGTCTGATGACGTGGTTTCATAACATGTAGTCTTATCTCTATTTTGTATAATTTGTTCCCTTCCAAAATGGATAACAAAAATAATGTTTTTTTTCCCCCTCTTCTTATTGTGTGTCCGAAGGCAAAGATCTAAGCCTACACAGCCTCTTAGATTAAGTTTTTTGTTTTAATATTAATAACTCCTCTCATTTGTATATTAAGTGATTGTCTTGTGTCTCCGTCCTTTGATGTCCAAATTAGGTCCCTCCAGAATATCAGCGTTGCAGCAGCAATCCATTTTTGCCATTGCAACATTATGCTGAGGTGGGGCCTAGTTGACGATAGACATTTTCTTTTATGTTTTACGTGTATTTATTGTAACTGTTAATGTAGGTATTTCGTCAATAAATGTTTTTCTTTCTTTCTTCAAAGGGAGATGGTATTTTTAGGGCAGTTGAAAAATATGTGATCGACGTTTTCTTCGTCAAGACCACATTTACTTTGCAGTTGTAACTCTAATTCCAACAGAATACTTCCTGTGTTTTTTCACTCTGTAATATCTCGAAAATTATAGTAAGGTCCTCTTAACTCTTATTGGATAGCTTTAAAAAAAATGGGTGCGTGTACTTATGTAGGCGCGTGAGAAGTTATCCTTCTTTGGCATCGTTTAAAATTAGTTTTTAATTGCATGCAAATAATTAATTACAATAAATTAATAAAAAATCTGGAAAAGGACACAGTCAATAAAGTTCAGTTTTAATTTGAAAAAATAAATAAATAATCAAAATATTCAATTAAAATCGCTACTGAATATAATTTATTGTGGATGATGGACATGTGGATAAATATTATAAATATGAATACCTATAACTGTCACTTTATTACAAAAAATAAAGATGTGGTTTTTGGTTCTACTACACCAATGGTCAAGAGATGGCGCTGTAGTCTCCTGAATCGCGCTTTGGTTCCGTTGTTCCAGATTAATAAATACTTTTGATAGGCCTTCACAATGCAGTCGTTAGCACCCACTAAATAGAGATTCTATTTCTATTTTGTTGGTAGATTTTCTTAATGTGCGGTAAACACAAAAGTAACAGCATGAAGTTGGTCGCTAAA